GAACGAGGATCGCAAATCGTCGCGATCGGGTACGTGAAGGCGGAAGCAGGCGCGGGAGATCGCGATTCGCAATCGGGGAGCGGTCTCCAGCGCCTAACAATCTCCCACTTGGAGACCAATACACATGCAGCAACATCTCCTTCCTCAAACTGATATCCTCCACTGGCGGTGTCGCCCTTTTCTTCAAACATGAATCCTCCAACTTGAATCATCCATCTTGAATCCTCTAACTTGAATCCTCCACCTCAATAACTTAAAGTTCTATCTTCACTCCAGAAGACCAACTGAAGTTGTACACAACTTCAGTTGCTCAAGAGTAACACCATCAGTCAACATATCAGCAGGTTCCACATAGCTTTGCACCTTCAAACTATTTTCTAGGTCACTCTTGTCTCTTCTTACAACTCTCACTGCATGGGCAACATCTTGTCTCTGCTGAAAGTCTTTTTCAACAAGTCTAGTCTTGTACCTCTTACTGACATTGCGCTCAGCCTTCACCTAATACACCCACTTGTTGTGCAATGTCTTCTTCTCTGTTGAAAGTTTTGTCATCTTTCACTTGCTCGAACTTTCATCTTGCAATATGTCTTCATAGCTCTGTGATTTTTCAACGTCTGTCTGTGGAACAACAGGAATGGGTGTCACGGACCCACTTTCCTCTTCACTTCCATCACTGCCCTGCACTGTGGCCTCTGGTAGATTTTCTACCACATTTCAAGCCCCTGAATCCAATATCAAGTCTTCAATAGAACCATGAACTGCCAACGATAATGCATATTGTGATTCTTCAGATACCACATTTGAGCTATCATTCTTCATCTTCTTAGGATTCCTACAGTTTTTCTTTATGTGGTCAGCTTTGCCACAATTCCAACAGATTATCTGCATATTAAACTTTGATTTTGATCTCTCTATCATTGAGTTCTTGTCATGTCATATCCCTCTGAAATCAACATTCAGTGTCGAACTCAAACCTGAGACCTCGCCAGACTCGCCAGAATCTTCTTTCTCAGTCAAAATCAAATCACGAATATCATCGTGTCTCAGTTTAGATTTACCTGCAGAACTGCTAACTGAACAAAGAAACATGGTTCATTGCTTCCCAATTGTCTGACAATGAAGTCAACAAGATCAGTACACATCTCATCATCAAAATCAATTTCCACAGACGACAATTGATTTGTGATAGTATTCAAAAACATTCACGTGTTAAGCAAAAGAAACACCTTTCACCATCTTCAAATTAATAACTTCTTCATCAAATGCACATTGTTATTCGTCGATGGCTTTTCATACATACCTGATAAGGCTGTCATGAGATCTGCAGTCGTCCTCTCCTTGACAACGATGTGCGCAACGGACCTCGATAGAGTCAATCGAATAACCTCTAGAATTTGTCGATCCAACAAATTTCATTCAGCCTCATCCATTTTTCCAGGTCTTTCCCCAATAACGGAAGATTAAGTTTCTTCTCATAAAGATAATCCTCTATTTATTTTCTCCAATAACCAAAATCTGTGTCATCAAACTTCTTGATCCCTGAAACTTTCACTTCATCTGCAGTCATCATTCTTCCTCAGACCGAAACCACGCTCTGATACCAGTTGTTGTTGTGAAATCTATACCAATTGTGGTGGTATATAAAATAAAGTCAAACAGGAGAACGATCGACGAAGCGAAAAAATAGAACGAAAAAAATCACACCAGAAAAGAACACACAGATTTACGTGATTCGGCAAATTGTCTACGTCCACAGAGTTGCAGAGGATTTTACTACTTGAGGAATTTACACAAGTCGATCTCGACTTGCAAGAGAAACCTCTCACTTTTCGTTGCTCTCTCTCTTCTTCTCTCTCTGTTCTTCTCTCTGTGCACCGAAATACACCGAAAAAAACAAACTTACAAGAGAAATAAACTCAATTTTTCTTCTGTCACAAGCCACCAAGAAGAAGCCAAGGGAGAACAATCTTCTTCTTCTTCTTTCTTCTTCCTTCAACGCAAGAAACTACCTCTTGCACTTATCTTCCTCTGCCCTAAGGAAACCTTCCTCTATCCCAAAAAAAACTGAAGAAGAACACTGTTACTTCACTTATGAAGGAGAGCCATCCGAAGTCTTTTTATCACAAACAGGAAGGAACGAATGGATGCTTCGTTTCGCGTCAGAGGAAGGCGAGAACGGTTGCTGGCGAAGAGACGCAAAGCTTCGCGAGCGCAGGAGCGCGGAGCTGGATCGCGAACGAGGATCACGAATCGTCGCGATCGGGTACGTGAAGGCGGAAGCGGGGGGCTGGAGATCGCGATTCGCAATCGGAGAGCGATCTCCAGCGCCTATCAGATACATGAGTAATCTAAGGAAAGAACATTGGGAAACTGTGAAATAATTCTTAAGATACCTAAGAGACTCTTTAAAAATCTGCTTGTGTTTCTCGGGAAAGAGCTTAGAGATATAAGGCTACGTTGATGTTGATTTAGCTGGAGGCGTTCATAGCAGAAGGAGTACTACGGGATATGTTTATACTCTCGGTGTTACTGCAGAGTCATGAGGCTCAAATCTACAGAAGATTGTTTCTTTGTCCGGTACAGAAGCCGAGTACATTCCAGTGTCAGAGGCAATGAGATGATATGGCTATAAAGTTTTTTGGAGGAATTGGATAAGGCAGTTCAAACAGGCACTATCTACAGTGATAGTTAGAGCGTTATATTCCTTGTCATGAATCTAGCATTTCAATACATGACTAAGCACATTCAGATCAGGTGTCATTTCATTCGATCATTGTTAGATGATGGACAGTTGTTGTTTGAGAAAATTTGTGTGAGCAAAAACCTCTGCTGATATGTTGACTGAGGATGTTACACTTAAGAAACTGAAGTTGTGTTCAACTTCAGTTGGTCTTCTAGCATGAAGACAGGGGTTTTGAGTTGCAGAGATGAAAGATATCACGTTCAAGGGAAAAGATAATACAACCAGCGTATGATGCAACTAGTGTTTCAATCTCCAAGTGAGAGAATTGTTGAGTAAGTGGAACTCTGTCCACTACATCCTTATTGGGCGGATTTTGCATCTATGGAATATACTTGATAATTAAATATATTCTTTATTTCTTTTTTAATTATTCACCCTTACCTTCCTCATGTGGATCCCTCTTCTCGTTTATCTTCTTCCTAAATAAACTCTCGCTTCTTCCCAGCGTCCCACCTTCCGTGGTTTTTGCAAAGTAAAGCTAAATGTTTTAATTGTGTCAAAACAGACGAGCAAGAAAATATATGCAGCAGAAGAAAGGTAATTAATAATTACTGTTGAATTGAATGCATCTGATGGCTCTCCCTCTTTAATTCACAGTTCTGCTTGCATGAGGAAGATAGACTGGCTTTTGGTTTTCCCTAGATCCTTCTTGGTGGCTTTCGAAAGGAAGTGTTGCTCCCCCTTTTTTGTCTTCTTCTTGGTTGTAGCTCTCGGGTAAAGAGACAGAGAGAAGGAGAAGAGAAAGAAAGTTTTCTTGTAATCGTCGAGAGATCGAATGGTGTAATCCTCAAAATAATAAAATTTTCTACAACTCCATGAACGTAGTCAATTTGTCAAATCACGTAAATTTGTGTGTTATGTTCTGTTTTGTGAATTTCTCATTCCAATTTTTCACTTTATTGTCATCTTTTTTCACAACACTCTAAGCTTTCAAGTTTGTGCGCAGACTCATTTGCTCGATAGGATTAAGCAATATTTTAAATCTATGAAGAACACCAATCCATCACTTTGAAAAGGGTTAAGCTGACTTATGTTACAAAACTACTGGTATTAAAATAAGCTCTTATATTACAAGACTACTTTGATAGTTTTGATGTTACAAAACTATCAAAGTAATAAAATCTTCTACAACTCCGTGGACATCGTCAATTTGTTAAATCACGTAAATCTGAGTGTTATATTTTGTTTTGTGAATTTCTCGTTCCAATTTTTTACTTTATTGCCATATTTTTTCACAACACTCTAATCTTTCCAGTTTGTGTGCGGGCTCATTTGCTCAATAAGGTTAAACAATATTTTAAATCTATGAAGAACATCAATCCATCACTTTGAAAAGGGTTAAGCTGACTTATGTTACAAAATTATTGGTATTAAAATAAGCTCTTATATTACAAAACTATTTTGATGGTCAAAGTAATAAAATCTTCTGTAACTCCGAGGACGTCGTCAATTTGTCAAATCACGTAAATTTGTGTATTCTATTCTGCTTTGTGAATTTCTCGTTCCAACTTTTCACTTTATTGCCATCTTTTTTCACAACACTCTAATCTTTCAAGTTTGTGCGCGGACTCATTTGCTCGATAGGATTAAGCAATATTTTAAATCTATGAAGAAAACTAATCCATCACTTTGAAAAGGGTTGAGCTGCTTATGTTACAAAACTACTAGTATTAAAATAAGCTCTTAAATCCATCCCCTGAAATCCACCAAAACATATAGAACAATTCAAAGAAATTTTTGACAGTCTTTCCTTCTTGTGTGCAGTTAAAGCAAGGAGCATGGGGGTCCATGACTTCGAGCAAATAAGCAAAGTTAGGAAACATATTAGAGTTAAATTCCAATCAACAGCAAAAACCCCTAGCCCTGATTCCTGCATGGCTAAGATTCGTAAACACCCTAATAATATTGGACGGCAGCGAGAAAGTGGCAACCACAAAGCAATGGACTAAAATAACACAAGAAAGAGCTGCTTAATGATAACGCCATAGCTCCACAAGACAAAAAAATTAAAAAAAAAAAAAGGAGAAAAGTTGCTAACCTGACAAAGATTATAAGTAAAGCTGTCGTAATTATCTATCACAATGATGGACCTCTCATCCTTCGCCTCGTCAAAAACCCTAACCCCATCCACTGCTTTCACAGCAGAGCAGCTCAAATACAACGAATGGTCCCCCGTCTCCCCGCAAAGAATCAGAAATTCAGAAATATTTTTAAGGTTAAAATCAAACTAAAAGCGGAGGAGACAAAGGTATCCTACTCGTGGTGGAGACGGAGGCCGGACGCGGCGCGCATCGGGCATCGGGCATCGAGCATCGGGCATCGGGCATCGGGCATCGGGCATCGGGCATCGGTAAGGGGAATGCGCCCTGCGAAGGCTTCTGGAACAAGGTGGTGCTTGGGGTACACGGGAAGGCGGGCGGCCATGGGAACCGGAGACGTATGCTGGAGCTGATCGTGAGTGATTAATATAGCACAATTTTAAAGTTTATTTTGAATTTCTAAAATAAATTTATAAATTTCATAATAAAACATCTGTCTTTTAATAATTATTAAAGTAGCGCCAATTTCTAATGCCCTAATTCTTTTATTAGAAAAAAAAAATCAAAGGCTCTTCACGTTGTTTTAATTAATCTGCAAATCACAATATTGTGGCTTAATAACTTTAGCGGTTAGTGAATTATATTAATTTGAATTTATTAAATCTTGATTTTTTTTAAAATGCCGTCATTTTCCTCCAAATAAGATATAAGAAAAAACGGAAATAAAGGCTACATATCTCGATCAAGTTTTTAATTAATATGGATATTAAAAAACCACCTAATTTTTATGTATTTATATAACTAACACTTAAAATTTGCATTTTATTTTTATACCACCTAAGTTTTTCATATTATATAAAAATATCAATAGTTCATGAAGTTTTGATACCAAATTGCTGAAAAGAAAGAAAATTAAGAAAAATAATAGTAATAAAACATAGAGGATAATATTATTATTATGAAGGACTTGTGTCCTTAGAAACTTCTTTTCAAACTTACACACCTTTGAAGGATTCAACAGATAAATGCGGACTTCGAAACATACAATATAACAGAAAGTAGATGTCATGAAAATAACGCACGCACCCAAAAAGCAAAAATGACAAAGGAAAAGTAGCCCACTAACAATAGTAGAGAAAAAAAATCATTAAGTCGAGGGTGGTCCCCATCACGTACGTAATCTTTGTACTTTTGCATTGAAAGTTGGCATACATGGGCTGCTCTGCCTACATTTGTTTTAGTCATAATGTTGGGAAGGAACCACAAACAAATATTTGCCAATTGTTTTTACACGCCTCCATCATTTGATATTAGTGTTTGATCTCTGAGCCTATGGGCTATGATTTGGGCACCCATTCATCGAACCAATCTTCAAAATCACCCATAGATTTGTCACCATCGCATTTATGAATTAATAGTGTTTGGAAGAGCTTCATGAACTGTTTGTCACAACTTTCAATAATTCGCTTCTTGATTTGATCGGTATATTTATGATGATATTTTATCTTGAATCTTTGAAATATCTAAGAGAAATATGTCTCTATGGAATTCGAGAAAGGGGTATTTGTGACTTCATATTTTTGCAAAAATTTCATTAATTTGTTTTACTTTCTCTTACTCAATGATTTGAGGTCACTATTTAATCAAAAATTGCCTTTATAATTATGGGTTATGATCAGGAGTACCCCTTCATCTGCTCAATCTTCAGAATCACCCATGGATTCCTAACCATCGCATTTGTGAATTAACAACATTTGGAAGAGTTTCAATGAGTTGTCTGTCACAGTTTTCAATAATCCGCTTCTTGATTTGATCGGATCGGAAGATTCATGGGAATATTTTCTCTCAAATCTTTGAAAAATCTAAGATAAATATGTCTCTACTAAATTCGAGAGAGGGATATTTGCGGCTTCATTTTTTTGCAAAATTTCATTAATTTATTTTAATTTATCTTCCTTAATGATTTGAGATCACCATTTAATAAAAAAAATTGCTTTTATTAACAATGTATATTGAACAGATATTTTCATGGGCAAATTTTTCAAGACCATATCCAAGAGATTTAGCTTGCTAATAAAGAAATGTATTAAACCTTCTATAAAATTATCACTTTTTGCATTCTCTAACTTTGGGTATCAATCCACCCAATATTCATTTTTGGCCATGATTTTTTTGGCAAAATATCTAACTATGCACAGAAATAATTTCACCAACAATAGAACCTTGCTGAAATATATTTATTTAAAATAAACATTCAGGAATACTTCATTTTTGAATTTGTCAAATAAAATGTCTTCATCGTACCATTAGCATAATTCTAATAATCTGTTGAATTTCGGTCTTGTAATTTAGAGGAGAGAATAAATGTCTAGTCTTGATATTGGTTAAGTCTCCAATCACAGTGATAGATAATGTTTTCTATAACATATTTGTTATACAAAATATCATGTTTTGTTTCATCATAGTTGTGGTATATATCTACGTATTTTAGTTGAGCCGATATCTTTTTATATACCTCTCGGGTGAGGTGTGATTCATTAGGAAAAGCGATTATTCCCAAATAGTGTTATGCTAAAAAAGATGTAGCCTGGACATAGCTATCATATGTATTGACTTTCATAATATTTTGCTTAAGCTACTTAGTGAAATAAAAAGATTCAGCAGTGGAAGAAGTTAATACTTCTTTCATGATTTTGTGTTCCTAAGTTACAGCCACGAATGATTCTTCGTGTTCATGTTTAGGAGGAATACCATAAGGGTATTCACGTAGGTCAATTTGTCTTTTAAGTATTGAATTGTCCTTATAATCGTGACCTCGTGAGGTACCATCTCCCCTCCCTCCGCGTAAAGAGGGAGTAAGATTTCTATGGGGCTCTATTGCAACTTTCACCTTGGGTTCGACTCGCCTCTATTATTCGCTGCTAAAATTCACGAGTAAGAAAATCTAGTAAAACTTAGACTCACGAGGAACTTATTCAATATCAAAATAAAAAACAATCAATTGAGTTTGCCAATGAACAAATATTTATTTTGATGCTAGATTTTTAACATCATTTTTAATAATATGTTTGACTGCAGAACAATCAATTTGTAATTAAAAAATTGTTATTAAGAATGACATATTGAAATTTAGAATACATTTTAGAACTGAAACCATTTATTTTTTAATTATAAAATATTTGGATTGAGGTAATGAATATTTTCACTCTTTGTTTAATAAATCGCGTTGCATTATTATGACCATTCATAGAAGATGATTCTTTTATAAGCAGTCAAATAAAGAAATAATTATTGTGTACAGACACCGCACATAAATTTCGTGTGATATCTGATCAAGACCGTAAAAAAATTAGAGTGGGTCACACTCTAATAATAAAAAAAACATATATATATATATATATATATATATTTCATTGGTCCTGATCGGACAACGCACGTAAATTTGCGTGCGGTGTCAGTACACAATAATCGTCCAAATAAAGACATCGAATCAAGAGCAAGATTTTGATATGAATCAGAAACGTAATTTATCGCTTCTAAAAATCTTTGCAATTGTTTTTTATCTTAAATTATATCAAAAAATTTATCAGGAAATTATATACCTCTATTTAGAATAATTCCATTTTAGTTGCTAACACAACTAACCTATTTTTGTGAACTAAATACTTATATGTATTTAAATGTTTAATATGTTTATCTGCATTTTGGAGAAAATATCAAAACATCATCTATGTAGAGTACATTATAATTTAGGCATTGATTAAAATGTAGTTTAAGATAATTTGAAATTCTGATGGCGCATTTTGAAGTCCAAAAGACATTACGTTCCATTCATACAGTCGAAACTATGTAGTGAAGATTGTTTTATATTGTTGTTCTTATTATATTTGCATTTGCCAGTATCCTGATTTTAAATCAAATTTATATAGTATTTTAGACTATGAAACTTTATTAAGTGAATCTTATTTATTAGGGATTGGATATTTTATCCATTTTAAAGCCATATTTAATGGTTTATAATTTATGATTAGCCGATGTTTTTCTCGTTCTTTTTCAGTGGCATTCATAACATAAAATGCCGATCAACTCCAAGGAGAATATGAATTGCAAATAAATTGTTTATTTAATAGATCACGACTTCTAATTTACATAATCAGAGATACTATTTATTCATTTGACAATGTCTGATCATAATCGGAATACGTACTTCATCGAAATTATCTTCGTAAGGTAAAGAAACACAATGTATTTTACGATTCCAGAATGATATCAGATTATCTCCACAATTCGTATTTTGAAAATCAGTAATTTTGTTAGTGATTTTTTGTTGGACTATAGTTTCTTTTAATTTATATAAAAAAAGATTTAATTTCTAGTTCTTTTTTTAATAATTTATTTGAATACTTTTACTTCTAATTTTATTCATTTCATTTAGAATAATCTCTTTTTGATCCACAAAAAATAGAAATGAAACTAATTTATTCTATACCAAACATTTAATATATTTTTCATCTATTTTCATTATATACATTATTTTTATTAAAAACGGTGTTCCCAAAATAATGTATCGAGAAATATATTTGACAAGTAAAAATGAAATTGGGATGCAAATATCATTTTTATAATTTGATGCATTTGTCAATTTATATCTTGTTTTCATTTTATTTATGCCAATAGAAGTTAATTTCTGAGTCGTTTTTTTAGAAATATTTAAAAGTTATTATTTATTTTTGTATGTAATTCATGTGTGCACCACTATCAATTATGGTAGTTAGATTGTTAGTTATAAATTATTGATTTATAATGTAGTTAGAAGAAATATAATATTTTTTAAAAGGATTATAAAAATACATTTGATACGTGCTAGAAAATTCACAGTGGTAGAGTAACGGACTATCATCTTAGTATTGTACGAAAGTTTAGCTAGCACACACACAGATGAAAGACACACACAGATGAAAGAGAAACAAGCGGTGATGACTCCATAAGTTTTTTCGTGAAAAATCCGTAAGGAAAAAACCACAGGGACCGGTCCAGTTGCGGAAATCCACTATTGATTGATGATTACAGAAATCTCTTGTCTCGCAGACGAAAAATGGTAACAATATTTTTTAGATTACAACGTCGAATGACGGCGTCTGGTTGGTGGTGATTGATGGTGGTTAGTGGTAGTCAATGACGGTTGGCAGAGGTCGACGACAATTGGCGGTGATCGACGACAGTCGGCGGTGGTCGTCGGAGGTCTGCGGTTGTCTTCAGTGGTCGGCGGTGGTCGACGACGATCAACGGTGATGCTAAGCTGCAGCTTCTCCTCAATGTCTCAGGCACTATCTCTAGACTCCAGCTTCCTCTCATGAGAGGGATGAAGCTCTATTTATAGTGTTCTGGGTGCAATTAATGCAAGAATATGAATCATTT